ATCTTTTGGGAATTGATATTTAAAGTTTATCATTTTGATACTCAAAGTATTTTAGGTATAATTATTTGAGAGCCACAACAATAAAAAATAACTGGAAGTCGTTACAAATGTGGAAATGTAGAGTTTTTACATGAGTTGTCTGAAATATTAAAGTCTCCAAAGGTAGATCATTCTTTAGTCCGACATTAAAAAATATTCTGGGTAATAACTGAGGAAAAACATGATCAGATGATTTCTTTCCCCAATACCTAATGAAATGAATAAAATGTGATAAAATAAATATAGCCAAAGGCAGACAAGGAAATAGTTATATATGTCATAAATTTAGGAGGAGATATAAAAATGAAGGCAGTATTCTCATGTGGTAAGTCAGAACCAGATTTTGCTTTCTTAAATTAAAGATTTCTGGCTGAATACATTTAGTGTAATTCCATATTTTGAGGGATTGGAGGAATTCATGAGTTATATAACGATCATTTATAGCATGTACCTTTTCAGAACTGTCCAACCTCTTAAAATATAAAATTTCTGAAAAGAAACGAATTTAAAAAAATATGTTTCAATGATGCCTTAATATGTAGAGAAATGTACTTAACATAGACTTACACAAGCAAAAATTGTAGAAAAATCCATTGACAAGTGGAGGTCACACCAACACCAAAGATGCACAGCAATTGGGTTTGACATTTTCCAGGGTTGTGCACCGAATAATAGCAGGCCAAAGGTGAATATGTCACAGCTGGAGAGTGGACTGTGTACCTGGCTGACTGGAGTGTGCTTTGGTGTAGGATATTTAATGGATCTCAGAAGAAGTGGAATCTAGCCAGCATCAAAGGGTATACTTAAACCTTCAAGTTCTCTCTTTTCCCCATCCTCTCATCCCAAGGCCATGGAAAGAAACACCCAATGAGAAGTCTAGATGAACAAAAAAATGTCAAAAGTTTTGTGAAACAGTGACAAGAAAAAATGCACCCACAACCTTTCTGATTAAATAGAATGAGCAGAATACTCTACATGACATACAAGCCGTATAAAAATAATGACATGATAGCCATATAATCATTTTTTGGAAAATAAAAATAAAAAAAAGAAAAATAATATTGAATTTAACAAGTGGCTAAAGTAGATAAGAAATCCAGTTGGGGGACAGAAAAGTAAGCTAATCCCCATAAGTGAGTCATATGTAGAGGATAATCAGTAAAGCACACATTTTTTCAGAAGAATTTCACAAAGAGATGACAAAACACAATGACATGAAACTGGGAATTACAGAACTAAAGATTAAAAAAAAAAACTTGAAACAGAATATTGAATCCATTTAAATCCAGAACTAAGAGTATATAACTGGAAGCAATGATTGCAAGACAGAATATTAAGGTTATAAATCAAGAAAAAATAGTAATAGAAGCACCAAAAATTAGTAGCTGAGGGGTGAGGCAAGAGCAAATGTAATAACATCAATATTAACTGAATATCAATTTTGTATAATTAATATGTGCAAAGCACAATAGTGTTCCATTTCTCTACCAGGTACAGTGGCTCATGCCTATAATCTTAGCACTTTGGGAGGCAGAGGTGGGCAGATTGCTTGAGCCCAGGAGTTTGAGACCAGCCTGGGCATCATGAAAAA